ATCAAGATGTTCTCCAGCGTCTGTCAGCTAATAAAGCCATCACCATCAATAAATCCAGCTCTCAGCTCTGTGAGGCGTGTCAGCTTGGAAAATCTACCCGTTTAGCTTTCTTTCCTTCTGAGTTTGTAGCTACTAAACCTCTTGAACGAGTGCATTGTGACCTCTGGGGACCCTCTCCAGTTGTTTCCACTCAGGGTTTTAGATTTTATGCAGTTTTTGTTGATCATTTCTCAAGATACAGTTGGTTGTACCCGTTGAAGTTGAAATCAGATTTCTTTTCAGTATTCTTGAGCTTCCAGAAATATGTTGAACATCAACTTGACTGCAGAATAAAATCGTTTCAAACTGATGGTGGTGGTGAGTTCATAAGTAACCAACTGAAACAACATCTTGCTTCTTGTGGAATCAGACATCAGTTGTCATGTCCACACACTCCGCAACAAAATGGACTTGCGGAGCGTAAACATCGTCATGTTACTGAGCTTGGTTTGTCTCTGATGTTTCAGAGCAAAGTACCTCAACAGCTGTGGGTTGACGCGTTCCTGACTGCTGCATACCTTAGTAATCTGCTCCCGTCTTCGGTGCTTCCTGGTCATGTCAGTCCATACGAGATGTTAGTCGGTAAACCACCTGTGTATACGTCTCTGCGTGTCTTTGGTTGCAGTTGTTATCCATTTCTTAGACCCTACGCTGAAAACAAGTTCGACCCTAAGAGCTTACACTGTGTTTTTCTAGGCTATAGTGAACAACACAAAGGTTATAGGTGTCTCCATCCTCCTAGTGCCAGAGTTTATGTGAGTCGTCACGTGTTGTTTACTGAAACCAACTTTCCTTATCAGAATGAGTATCAGTCATTTCTGAAGTTTGCTGATACAAAACTTCTTTCTGCTTGGAAGTCAGAGTTTATTACTTCGGCTGCTCCATTACCTCCATCCCCACCTCAAGACGAAGACCTTATCTACCCTACTCCTACCATTAACCCTCTCCTTACACCACATCCTGTCTCACCTGTTGCTACCCCAGAAGATGTTTCCCCACCTGTCTCCCCACCTCAACCTCCTGCACCAATTCATCCGATGATCACACGAGGAAAAGCTGGAATCAGTAAACCCAATCCTCGTTATGTTCTCATGACAGTTAAGACAAACTATCCTGAGCCAAAATCTGTTCAAGCAGCTCTCAAAGATCCTCTCTGGACAGCAGCAATGGGTCATGAAAAGCACAACATGGAACTAACTCACACTTGGGACTTAGTTCCACCTCCTCCTAACGTTCAACCTGTTAGCTGTGGATGGGTTTTCAAGTCTCAGTTTAACGCTGATGGCACGTTGAAGAAGCGCAGAGCTCGTCTTGTGGCTAGGGGTAACGAGCAGGAAGAAGGTATCGATTATGTTGAAACGTATAGCCCTGTTGTTCGTACAGCCACAATACGTTCTGTACTCCACATTGCTACGGTGAAAGGTTGGAGTATCAAGCAATTAGATGTGGAAAATGCTTTTCTCCATGGTGATTTGAAAGAAACTGTCTTCATGAAGCAGCCTCCTGGTTTTGTTGATAAAGACAAACCACATCACTTGTGTCAACTTCGTAAAGCCATTTATGGCCTTCGTCAGTCACCAAGAGCTTGGTTTGACAAGTTTAGCACATTCCTCTTGGAATTTGGTTTCAAATGCACTCATGGCGACCCTTCCCTCTTTGTGTACCTTCACGGACCTGATGTCATCTACTTGCTGTTATACGTTGACGATATGCTTCTTACTAGCAACAATGACAAGCTCATTGAGAAGCTAATGGTTACTCTGCAATCTACTTTCCGTATGAAGGATATGGGTGCAGTTCACTACTTCTTGGGCATTGAAGTTCGGGAACATGATGAGGGTTTGTTCCTTTGTCAGGAGAAATACACTAAGGACTTGTTGGAGATTGCAGGGATGAGTGGTTGTGATCCTATGCCGACACCTTTGCCTCTGCAGTTGGATCGTGTTATTGGTCAGGATGAGCTTTTTCCTGAACCTACATACTTTAGAAGCCTCGCTGGTAAGCTTCAATATCTTACTTTGACAAGGCCAGATATTCAGTTTGCAGTAAACTACGTGTGTCAGAAAATGCACGCTCCAACAAAGGCAGATTTTACAAATTTGAGACGTATTCTGCGGTATCTCAAAGGCACAAGCAGTCTTGGTTTGAACATTAATGCAGAGACTGGGTTTCTGTTGTATGGTTTTAGCGACAGTGATTGGGCTGGTTGTCGGGAAACACGGCGCTCTACTGGTGGTATGTGTACGTTCCTTGGCTCCAACATCATTTCCTGGTCTGCTAAACGTCATCCCACTGTATCACGGTCTTCTACTGAAGCCGAGTACAGAACATTGTCTCTTACTGCGACTGAACTGAAGTGGTTGGCTTCTCTTCTTGGAGAAATGGGCATCGAACTCCCTGATCCTCCACAACTGTTCTGCGACAACTTGTCTGCAGTTTATCTTACTGCTAATCCAGCTCTTCACAACCGAAGCAAGCATTTTGACACCGATTTTCATTATGTTCGGGAAAGAGTAGCTTTGGGAGCTCTGGTGGTCAGTCAAATCCCTTCAGCTCAACAGCTTGCGGATATCTTCACAAAGTCTTTGGCTCAACAACCGTTTTGCTTCCTGCGTGACAAACTCGGCGTTGTCTTGCCTCCCACGCCTCGTTTGAGGGGGTGTGTAAACAGCAATCTCAAATTGCAGAAAGAGGGCCCAGGTTCTGCTAAAGCCCATCTCACGGAGGCTACACAACCGAAGCCCATTAAGCATGTTTGTCACTTTCTAAACGGTAACAGAGGAGTGGTTCAAGCTGAGTCAAAAGGTCACCGTTGTACGACCTCTGCAAGGCTGGACCTCCAGCTGCATAACCGATTTGATTCCCTCAACTTGTGTGCTGTCACCTGCTGACGTGTTTGTCTTATCTGAGCACACAAGTTCTTTATATATCTTGTCTTCTGTATTCTTTGTTCTCAAGCAAGAAACATTATCAATAAACGTTATCTTCTTCACTTTAATCTCAAGCTCTATTTGAGCTTTCATGTATGTGAGTGGATAATATTATGACCCCATATATACTCTGTGTATATAGCTATTGGTACTACTTTTAAAGCGTAAAACCCTAAAGCTGGTCATAGTCTTTCTTCAATGTTCTTTTTGTGTGTTTAATAGTCTTTCTTGTTCTTTTTGTGCTTAATTAATAGTCTTTCTTCAATGTTGGATACTTTAATTGGAATAATACCTTATGGTGTCCTTTAAAAAAAAAAAAATATAATAATAATACCTTATGGAGCCGAGTCAATGTTTATTCAATTTTAATTTACTTTTAAAATGGGAAGAAACAAAAATATATATAGACATCATCATAGCACCTTGACATCTCTGAAATCTAAGGTTGACATATGACTCGTATGAAGAAAGTAAAAGAAGGAAAAAGTATATAATTTTAAGTTACAAAAAAGTATATAATTTCTGTTTATTTATATAATTGAAGTACAAAGATTAGTAAAAAAATCTCTTTCTAAAAAAAGATTAATAAAAGAGGAAGCTACAGGTTTATCAAAGAGCTTTATTGAAATGAAAAATAGCTCACTTGGTTTTATAATTGAAGTACAAAGATTAACAAAAAGAAGAAGTAGCTATAGGTTTGTCTTCATGAACAGTATAAATTCAACTATATATCAATAAAAAAGGAATAACTCTTTATATTATCTAATGTTCTTGTTTTGTATCACTAATATCTTCTTATAACAACAATACATAGTTCACTACTTGCTTGGAACCTAAACAAATGGATTTAATACATTACATTGGCTTATTTTTTGTGAATTTTTGCCCATATGATTGTGGTCAAGTGGTAGGTGAAACCTGATAATATGCTACAAGCCTACACCACTCTTTTGAGGTTCCGGTTTTCCTTAAAACAAAGTCATAGTTATGTGGGAAGTTTAGGTTTGGTTTTCGACCCAAACAGTTTACTTGGTAGTTTAGTAACATAGTACATCTACTCTCTGACATGAGTTGGAAGACATTTAGAACTTGGATTACACAATATGGTAACCACTTCACTTTGTAACATAAAACGCGAATTTTATGGAACTGATCGGATCAGCCGTTAGAGCATATAAAAAAAAATCTAATAATGTGACTGGCTTTGAGAAAATGAATTCTTCTTTGGAGATTTATTGTGTAATTTTTTTACCATGTCGTGTTGTGTTTATTTAACGACCTTATAGTTTGCGTGTCTCCCTTATCCTCAGATATGCATAGGGGGCACAGACGGCGTCACTGAACCAATGTTTGATCTATGTGCGTGCCCTTGATCATTTTAATGTACTATTGGATGAGGACAAGTAGAAATCACATCATGCCTCCAAATTAAATGCTGTTGTAAAGAGAAAACCTCACATGAATATTAGTTTTCCCTTCTAGGTCTAAGTAATGAGAGTTATACCACCAAACCACCGTGTTTGTCTTTACCAAAACCGAGAAAAGAGTATGGAAAGACCCTCTTGATATCATTACGAAGAATTGCTTGTAAAGTTGTTTGAAATTTAGCCTTGGGGATTAACGGTACCATCTAGTTGCTGGATTGATCACATACATGGAGGTTATTGTATATATGCAAGTCAAACCGTAACAAATCTTCCTGTCTGAATTGTTGTAGATTTATAGCAAATCATGTGTTGTATCTTTTTTCACTAAACCAGCCAATCTGAATGATTTTATCTCTCACCTAGCACAACAGCGTCTTCATGAGATGAAAAAAATGACGAAGAACTTAGCAATAAGAATACTTTTAGGGCAACTGCTATTCGAATGTGATACAGTTCAAGTAGATATAGATTCTCGGTTGTATAATGCATAGTGGAACATGCATTTATAGAATCAGAATCAGAACATGAACTATAGACAACTTGTTAGCCACTGTTTTGACTATGTAGAGGAAATAATATTAGATGGTAGAATCAGAATAGCTTGAAAGAGTTTAGAGTTGTCAATATAGTCAGACCAAATACATTCAAATGATTCCCTTATCTATAAGGAAAAATTCAAAGAAACAGCAAATGCAAATACATAGTTGCTCTCCACCACAACAAGCAAAGCAAAACAGCCTGTTTCCAATCCAGACATAAAAACAAATGCAAACTATTAAGTACTCTCCTGTCACACCAAAATGCCAACTAACAACCCCATCACAAAGAAAAACAACATAGATATGATCTTATACTTTTTTTTATGAACAAAGAATCCAACTCTGTTACAGAACCTCAGGATTCAGGTACTGGGGCTGCTGGCGCTGGAGGTTTGAGAAGTGGTTGCAAAGCTTTCACAACTATACTCATATTCGGTCTAAACTCAGATTCGTATTGCACACACAATGCTGCCACCGCTGCTAGCTGCATTTGCCACATTACAGATTCATATATATATTTCAGATTGAAAAAAAGGAGACGGCAATGCAATTTTGGTGTTACCTTAGCTACTGATTTAGGAGGGTACTCTCCTTTTAGCTTTGGATCAACACACTGCTTCACTTTATCTTCACTGAGTCTCGGTGTAGCCTGAACAATAAATGGACAGGAGATTAAAACAGAGCATGATACATATTTGGACAGTACAGAGAGAATGTATCATACCCATGTTACGAGACTTTGTTGACCGCGTGGCATTGTATGATCCACAGGTTTCCTCCCAGTCAAAAGCTCTAGTAGTACAACCCCAAAGCTATACACATCACTCTTCTGTGTCAACTGTCCAGTCATAGCATATCTGTAAACGGAAACACACACGTTTTACACTTTCATCTATATGCTATGCAACAGAGATTTAAGGTTTTAAGTAATTTTACTCTGGAGCGTGATAACCAAATGTGCCCAAGACTCTTGTAGAGTGAAGACGAGCAGCATTATCAGGAGCTTGATTCGAGAGATTGAAATCAGCAACTTTCGCTTGGTAGTCTTCAAAGAGAAGCACATTGCTAGATCTTACGTCTCTATGTATAACAGGAGGCTGAACCTTCTCATGAAGGTATTCTAAACCTCTAGCTGCCTCAACGGCTATCTTCACCCTCGTTATCCATTCAAGTGTTGGACCTGGCTGTGCACCTTGAACTCCCTTCCTACCATGTAGAACGTCGTGCAGTGATCCCATCGTTGCAAACTCGTAAGCAAGAACACGGAGGTCTTCATCGACACAATAACCGACCAGTTGAATGAGATTATCATGCTTCAGTCTTGAAACCATGGACACCTAAGGAGAAACAAGCAACATGATGTAAAGACAAGTGTTCTCGAAGAAAAAAGGAGGTAAAGGGGCATGAAAGCAACAGTTATATAACCTGACTCAAGAACTCAGCGTTTGTTTCAGCTTCAGGAGCAACATCGAGTTTCTTCAAAGCCACTGCTTTCTCATCATTTAGCGTTGCGTAATACACCCTTCCATAAGATCCCTCACCAATCAACGACTTTGATCCAAAATTGTCTGTCTTTTCTTTAACCTCTTCTACAGACAAGGGAGGAACTTCAATAGGGAGAGCTTCCTTTGCCGCAGCAGGTTTTGGAACAGGCTGTTGTGGTCTTGGCTTTTGATTTGCTGCTGCATGTGTATGACCAGAAACAATCAAGTCAACTCCTAATCCTTACAAAAGCCTGAAAGCTAAAAGCTTCTAGTACACAAACAATAGCACTCTATAACATAGACACAAGTAAAGAGAAAGCTCTTTGTCAGAGACATACCATCAGGTTGTTGCCATTGACTCTTCAGATGTTGCTCATCATTTGATAAATCAGAGTCTCCTGATTTATGCCCACAACAGATCCACCTGCGCATCTTGATTCTCTTCTTCAATTATAGATCCCCACACCCTTTTTAGCTCCTGCAAAAACCGTTTCAAATAAACTCAATACGTATGCATAAAATAAAAGAGAAACTATCTTCTATTAAATCACTTGGAACCAAAAGTGTTACAACATCAAAGCATACGTAAGGGCTTTTATCTCACTAGCTCCAAAAATTAAAAACAGGTAAAGCAACTACTCTTACAAGTGGTCCAAATATTGTAAGTAGTCCAAATATATCATTCAAAGTATATAATAAGGACAATCTAATGTTTATCAAATGGGTCTTTCTTGACAAAAAAAAGTAGGCGTACCAGAAACAATGCGTTGCATTGGTAATCACTCGATTCATGAAGTTATCAAACAACAAAACATTACTTACTACACAGACCAGACACCTAACTTCAATATTTACAATCAGAAAAAGACAAAAAACTCTGCCCGCCGCCAGATAATGTCGGCAATAGTCAACTAATTAGCGAAACTGGATTTTAAAAAGTAAAAAAAAAAACGGGAATCAAAGATCAGGAATTTCAAATCAGATGAGAAACCTACTCGAAATCGAATCAGGAAATTGGTATTTAAAAATTTAAGGAAATCAAAGATGGGTTAACTAGAAAAGATCCAAGAAGCCTTAAAGAGTAGGAAAATCGAGAGAAATGATCTAACTTTACCGGTCAAATCTGGGTTTTGTCGCCAAAGCTGAGACTTGTCTCGATGTCTGCCTCTCACTAGAGTGTTCGATGGTGTCTTCTGTGTAGAGAGATGAGAGAGAGAGAGAAGAAAAGGAGGAGCCTTTGCTTTGCTTTGCTTTGCTTTGCTTGATGAAGACGGAGAGAGAGACAGAAGACAGATGGGCAAACCGGCCAAACCGAAAGGGAAGCCGACCTCTTTTCCTTTGGCTTTTTCTTTCTTTTCGTTTTTAATTATTTTCTAGTAATTCATTTCCCATCATAATTGAACCCAATCACTCACTTCTTTTCTTTTTTTTTGGATTTGTTGTGTTTTAATTATTCGCAAGTTATTTATCTGTCAAGGACAATATTATCCAGAGTCATAATTTCAGATATGCAACCTAGTGTGATTGGTAATGGTTGTAGGTGCTCTCTAGAGCACCACATATTTATAAAGCACTAAATTTACAGCAATCAAGCTTTAATGATTTTTTAAAAATTACAGCTCCTAAAATAATCTACAGCTGTAGAAGTGCTTTCTACAGCCAAATATTCAAAGCAATTTTTTTGAGTTTTCCATATAATCTACAGCAATTAAATCTAAAGCTACAGCAAAAAAGCTACAGCATTTTTTTCTACAGCTAAAATTTTAAAGCTATAGCCATAACCAATCGACCCCCTAATCTGTATAATATAAGTTAATAGAAAACTCTTCAAATATATTAATGTTAAAAATATCTTTTAAAAAAATATTCTTAAATTTAATATTTTTTTTATTATTAGTAAAAATTGATGACATGTATACTATAATTAGGAACATATACTTAATATTCGTTTTGTATCAGTTATTTACCATGTACTTATCCGACTGAACTGAGTGCTTATTACAATGTGTAACAAATCTGAAGACTCGCAAATATAGTTAAACAGATTTTAAAAAATTAACTTATTGCTTATTTGGATTTGTTACTTATTTCTATTAAACTAAAATTTTCATTTGTATCTTATTGTTTGAAAAGTTATTATTATGTAAAAGTACAAATATATTTTCTTGAGTTTATAAGTGATAATAGATCTTAATCCGCGCACCAGCGCGGATTCATTTTTATTTTTTTTATTTTTATTTGTATACATGTTATATTTGATACATAATCAGTTTTTGAAATTCGACCGGACCCGAGACTGAACCGGGAAATCCGGTCACCTATATGTAATCTGGTTTAGTTTTAGAAAAACACAATTATATAAAAGAACTTATTTATGAAATTACTAAGAAAAAAAATAAAAATTAGATTTATAGTAAGAAGATAGAGAGAGATAGTAAGAGAAAAAAGAGAGAAGGTGAAGTTTTAGTTTTTTTTTTTCTTTTAGTTAGTTAATGAAATATATATTTTCTGCGTCATTTGACCTAATTTCCTTATATAAAACACAACAAAAACAGTAAAAAACCATTAAAATCTTGAATTTACATGTTCGACCACTGGTTGATCTATCCTATAGATAATTTTTACTTTTTTTTGCTTTAGATTTTTGTAACTATTTTATTAAAATTTATTTTGTATTCTATATAAAAAATTAGGTTTTTAGTTTTTTACAATCATCTTCCTCTACTATTGACTTTGTTTGTCCTTTGATTATTTGTGTCGTTTGATCTTTTGTTTATCGTGAATCTTACTTACAACTTGACTTCTGTAATTCGCTTTTTATTTTGCATTTTTAGATTTATTTTCAAAAATAAAATATTTCTTATATTTTAAGTATATAATATATTATTATGTAATAAAATTAATTTATTTATTAACATATAATTCACCCGCAATCAATATAAGTGGTATACAATTTGATTATTCGATATAAGTGGTGAAATTTTTTTTGTATAGGTATTTTACATAAAATTTCTAGTATTATAGATTGATCTGCAAAGCAAAGAACAAAAATTAATTTAGAAGCAAACTATATTATTGGTTCAATTAGTATATCAATAAATTAATAATCTCAATAAAGTAATAAAAATTATAGTTTTGGTGTAGTCCCAACATTATTAATTTATAGAGGTTTGACTGTATATTGTTACACTAAAGATTATTTATTAATTATGTATGTAGGGAATAATAAAGATATTCTGTTTTGAATTTTTAATTTATTGATTTGATTTGTGTAGAAAAGCTAATAAATCAATTCCCCCTTTTTAGGTAAATTTAGATTAAGAAAAATGCATTAATAAACAGAAAAAGACAACAAAACTAAAATATAGATAAATTTATTATTTCAGTGACATATGATTGTAAATAACTTGAAAAACTAAGGGGTAATTTATTTGGGTAGTTATATTTTAATAAAATAGATTAGGTATAATATCTTTTTATAATAAAGAACATCATGTGTGGATTATAATATTTAAAATAATATGAAAATGTTCTTAAATAGTAATATTTACATATTCTTACATTTAAAATGTTAATCAAATTAATTGTTAAAAATGAATATAAAAACAAGTACCAAATTATATAAAGTAATTAACACGTATTTAAATTTCAGACAAACACATAATTACTTAATAAATCAAATAAAAGTAAAAATTAATATCTTGTTATTTATTTTGGACAAGTCAAGTTTTGAGTAAAGTCATAAATAAATAAATAAATAAAAATCCACTTTGTGCCAAAAACTAATTGTACAGGTTCACAATCACATTCAATCATATAATATCTTTAAATGTCTTTAAATATTAAAAAGAAATATTTATACATCCATTCTTAACAAGTGCAAATTTATAATTGATTCATCAAAACTATCTTATAATTATAATACATGTACTAGATTTTGACCCGCCCTTAAAGAGGGCGGGACAACCGTTTTTGCTTTAAATTTATGCCCTTGTTCGATTATTCACAAATATGTACAGGCATGAGTATCCGGGTTCAGATATATTGTCGTTAATAATTTTGGTTTGGTCCAACATATATAGATTAAATATGATTACGTACAATTCAATGTGTGGTATAAAATTGATTTTTTTTATTCGTTTTAGTTAGATAACAAATTTCAGGGATCCAATGAAATTATGAGTTCTATTTGATAATCTAAAGAATTGATTTGTAATAGTTTATATTTTGAGTTCAAACTGTATTTTTGTATAAAAATAAATAATTTTAGGCTACTATTATAAACAATTTGGTTGATATTGTCATACAAAATAAATAGAGATACAATAGACTGTTTATTTTAAAAATTATGGTCATAAAAATTGACATTGTATTATATAGACGGTACGTGTTCAAAAAATATGATTAACAAAACAATTATATAAGAAAATAACATAAAAATTCAAAATATAACTGCAAATGATTATTGCAAGCCCGTAAATAAATCAATACATCATATTAACGACACAAGCCCAACACAAATATACCGACAATATCTCTTTAATATATCTTTGACATGCGACTACCACATATCTTTTCAAGAGCGGGATATATTTTCTTTATAAATTGATTTATCGAAACAAAGATTTGATAGTTATAAAATTATATGTGTTGAAATTTTGCAACTTAATACATTTATAATTATGTTGAACGGTGTTTTCATACCTGACATGGGTTTGAGATTGAGAAACTAAACTTAGTGATATGTATATATTTCGGTCCGGATTTAACTAATTCACCGCTATTTAAAATTTTGATAAAACTTGGTAAGAATTCAAAATCCGTTAGTAACATGTCACCTGGCACTGATTGACCCGTGTAAAACTAAGATTAGTTTGGTGATTTAAAAAATTGATCAAAATTTTATATATTTTAAAATGAGTACATGAAATTGAATAATATGTTTGATTTGTGATTCTTTACTAAAAGAAGTACTATGTTGTCTGATAAAAAAAAAAGGCAATAAAGAACACCAAAATATATTACACGTTGTTCACTATTATTTAATTTTTATTACTGATAATTTATTACTGGTTTTATTTTTAATTTAGATTTTAATTTTTTTTATCGCTATTATTTATTTGGTATAAACCGTGATGTAGAAGGAATATGTTAGATATGGTTTTATGTATATTAAAAATAGGTTGAAATATTCATTTCGAACTTTTACATTCAAAAAACATTTCATGCATAAAATTTTAATTAGTTAACAACACACACACAAATTTATACTTACAAATTTACCTGAAATAAATTTGTACTTACAAATTTACCTGAAATAACCTACGATATGATATAAAAAAAATCAAATGTCCAATAATAAATATGTATCCAAACGGGTATATGATCGTCCAAAATTAACTTATAGTATGATATAGAATGTACAATCACATAAAATAATAGGAAAGTTAATTAAATTATATTATTTACTCTATTAAAATGGAGTCACTATTTTCATCTACTATAAAAAAGTCATATAGGACCATTTCATTTATTACTTAGTGTGACATATTAAATTATTTAGGTTAATCAATCAAATATATATCATATATGCTGAAAATAATAAATTTACATTCTATTTTTAGTTATAATAGAATCGGTTGAGAGAAAATCTAACAAAATCTTACTAAAAGTTTAAATATTATATTATTAAATAACGTAATAATGAATTTCGTAATAATAATATCATACTATTATACATTAATATTAATTAAAATTTCACTATAATAACAAAAAAGAATCCTATACTATTTTATAAATTTCAAAGTAAAAAATTAAAGAATATTATATATTAATAATGTTGAATAAAAACTTACACCAATTAGATTATAAATTTACACAATATATAACATAAAAATATAAATTATATATTTCAAATATTTACATTAATATTAAATAAATTTTTAAAAATGAAAAATATACCCGCACGAACGTGCGGGTAAAAACTCTAGTTAATGTTATAGAAAAGTGCAGTGTATATAAAATTTCACTGTCAATTTTTTTGTGTAGATATATATATATATATATATATATATAGGATTTGGTTATTTATATTTATAAACTATGTTTTATATTAAGAAAAGTACATGACTTTTATCATATTATTTAAACTTTGGTGTTATATGCTGTTTTTTGAATGAATTGATTATTTTCATGGTTCTCTCAAATCATACTAAGCATGTAAGAGTTTCCTACATGTAAACTCTTTTGGTTATTTGTAAAATTTGTTAGTTGATTTTCAATCTACAATCTACATACAACAGATAGCGATTTAGAAGACACAACAAACGACAAAAAAAAAAATTCCACTATGACTCCAATTAAAAAAAAAAGAATGAATAATATTCAAAACAATATCACACAACTTCTAAACGTATACCATAGAGGTTTCAGT